CTAACTCTACACCAGATGTGTTAACGTAATTTACGAAATTTGGTACATTTATATACATGTCATCGTCTGTTTTGAGAATATATTTAGCTGTAGGACAAAACGTCACTACCCATTTAAATCCCATTATGGTCTTATAAGTTAAATTGTTATAAGTATCAACAAAATCTTCTTTTATTATATCATTATGCACGTTATTTTCCTGTACAACTTTTTCGTGAAGATCATCATTTGCCAGCTTGCCGAGCAAAAACGCATAACGTACGTTACCAGTATTATTCTTGGAGTATGACAGCCACGTTCTGCGAATGACGTCACGTTGTTCAAAGTTCTTATGTACTGTCAAAATCATGATAAATAAATCTATTGTATCGTTGTTGTCGCTATTTATCTTACATATTTTCTCATTATTTATCAAATATTTAAAATCATGAGTAAAACATTTATCACATACTGTTTCTCTTATTTCATCCGGCTTTTTCGTGCTTTGTTCTTGTGTCGTATTGTTTAGATTTTTATGCCATACCGTCCCATTCACTCCCATGGTGTAGTTTCTGATGAGTTGTTGTAATGCTTTCCCAAAGTCTTCACTTCCGTTTATATGTACCCCTAATATAGACTCAATTAAACTAATGTCTTTTCTAAATATATTAACACATTTTTGCGTACGATACTCCATTATTCGAAGCTTTGACATACTTATAAAACATGTCACAATGGTAACGAAAATTAAAATCACAATAACATGACGTTTTGATTTTAAAGACATATTTGTAAGTTATTCTACATACATATTTGCTAATTAATCCCACAGTATCCCAAACGCTAACATATTCATTCAACGATCACAGTCTATTCAAAACTACCTGGGTAGCAAAGTAAAGTATTGAATATACAACTTTATAAAATGAAAGGTAAACGCACAAATTGACAAGGACGTTAAATAATAGTGACTGCTATTATAACTAGATAACTGAATACCTTGTAGTGTATTGAATGACGTTATTATTCAAAATTCATTGCCGGACAGCTGAAATGCTACATCGGGTTTCCGTTTTATTTCGATAAAATATCATTTAAATGGGGCAGGTATAAACACACCTTTACTATGCCGTTTATATTATGGGTGGTCGTCACATAACATTGCGAAGTGATATTGCGACAAGGCGAAGCACATTCCAAAATGCTAAGCACGTCGGCAATGCATAATGTCTCCACTAACCCGAAATGTCACTTGATTACTCACTGTTTCTTGGTCAAATTTCAAGGAACCTCTAGAATTGTTTTTGCTATCAACATAGAAAAAAAATAGACGGTATTTAATTCTAGAATTAAACGTTGCCAGATACATTGCACATTTTACATTTGTTTTATTTGTAATTTACCTGATATAGAGGATGAGTTCTATTTTGCACGAGTTTGTAATTATTATAATAGTATAAGTGAACAATACTTGATAATATTTTGATTATTCTATACCTAGAGTTTATAAATTTGTTTAATTGCAACTACTTTTAAAATTTCAATATGTACCTTATAATTATAAAGCGTTAACATGATAATTGTCTGATTCGTAAATGTGTGGTTTGTAAATGATTAAATATGTATTTGATCAAGATTAGAAATGTATGTATGTATTATAATAAATGAAAACAAACACACTTTCTTAAAATTCTCAGCACAATTGAATAATACTACATGATAACGATTAGGGGTGTCGCGGTAGCAAAAATGCGAACCGTTTTAACTGCGTCTTAATGACGGTCGTTTAAACGACCTTATACTTATGATAAGATAGCACGTTTTTGCGCGTATTTTGTTATACTTGACAACATATCAGATTATGGAGTAGCCTTGTCCGATAGAAATATCATGTGCATGACAAGATAGCGTGCAATCGAAAACTTAGATATAAACGAAATGTAATATCTTATCATAAATAAACAAACGCTATGTTAAAACCCAATAATAAATATCTTGGTTTTCTAACCTTGGCTTGCAGTTATTTAATTTTCGTAATGGCATTGTTTTTTAATGTTATGTAATCGGCACTAACAATTCAAGAAATCACCTAAAAGTTGTCAATATATGCAAAAATAGCCCTTACTGCGTTAGTAACGCAGTAGAAATATGGTAATAAAATACTGCAAATCAGTCTTTAACGCACATAACATGAAAAGTATAACTTGGATCTCGAATAATTTACCTTTCTTTAAATTTTATTACATTTTTCGCAATATTGATTTTCATGAACAATTATGGCTCATCTGGAGGCATGCAGCTTTAACAATGCGGTTTTTAGGGGCAGCGTAATTGTTTTTCCTGCATTAATCACAACTATTTACTTTTTTTTTACATCGCGACCTTTACAAACCCGCAGTGCATTTGCTCGTAATCTTCATATTCAATGTTAACAATATCAATATTGTCCAAAAAGCACAATTAGATATACCAAAAAAATAATTACATGTGTGATCAAACTTGTTTGGTTTTTAAACGTTTCACGCTCGTTAAAATTTGAAGTTAATTACTTTTTTACAGTTAAATAACATTAAATATATACATTACTGCGGCAAAAAATATCACGCGTTATTATTTTGTTTGAAAACACTCCTTGCGTAACAAATATTAAGCTAGTTTAAACCGTGGCGTGATGAAATAAATCAACATTTCTATCATTTTTGGGACATATTATTGTTTTTTGATGTTAGCATAAATCATACATTAAAGAACAATATACTTTATGCTTATTACAGATATCAGGTAAATCTATAGGGTAGATCAAGCAAACTAAGCGTGTATATAACTTAAAAATTGTAAACTTAATCTAATAATATACACTATAATGTCGTTAGTATTTTCTTCTTAAAACGTAAATAATGAAAATATATGATAAGTAAAGACATTATGAAGTAAATTTTATAATAGTGACATTGTGTAATGTACATATATAATGAGGATATATATTTATTTCTACAACACCCGGTCACGTTGGGCCTACAAGTCACTCAATGAGTTTAATCTTTAAAAAAAAACAACAACAAAAAAACAACAACAATTTGTAGCATCATTTAGATATGAACTAATTATATACATTCATGAAGTGATACAGATTAAAATGCTCTAGTACATAATAACAACATCTGCAGAAGTGAAATAGGAAGTATACAAGCTTAAATATTATCATTTTTTCTATCTTATTATCACTTGACGTATCAAATCACATATATGGTACATTATACAGTTACCATTCATGTAACATAGCTTTAGGGCAAATACATTTACAACATTTAAAAAAATCTATGCAGAGACATCCTTATTCTATTCATAGCTTCAACTAAAAATTTAGCACAATAGACATAATGAAAATTGAAAGCATAATTATACTAACTTATTTACAAGTCGATTCCAAAATCGTAAAATGTTAACCCAACGTCTATGTTGAGTAGAAATCCAACTCATATCACAATTTATTGCTAATAGTGGTTCGAATTTAACCCCTTACGAATTGAACACCTGCAGTGAATTTTTGATGTGGAACCTTTGATTTTTTAAGTATTTAGGTATATTCCCTGATTCAGTAACGTTTAAAAAGAAAAAAAGAAAACAATAACATAAACACCCTTTTGTTAAAATTGATTCAATCACAAATGAGTAACACAGAAAGAACTATCCCACTTAGTGTTTTGACATAACAGGCTGGAAATATTTTCACAAAATTAGTGTTTTATTTGGTGTTTTCAAAATTTCAGAATAATTGCTCACTCCATTTTTCCAGAATAATAATTATAATTGTGAAAAATGACAAGCAGTGCAACCCAAATCAAATCAGGATGAGAATGGCATGAAAATACGATTTTCAATTTATTACTGAGTCTATTAATATTTATTTTGCTTATATTTTTGTTTAAATGCCCCGGTTGGTCTTTGTAAGAAATACGTTTTAAATTAAAGTGATATCATCAATTAAAAGTTTCGGTTGAAAGAAGACACGAATTTATACATTCGAAACATCCGTTTAAACAGTTCATCATGTATAACAACGTTTCATATTTCACAAAAGGTACATGTATTAGGTTCTTTACACACTTGAGACATCCAGTTAAATAGTTCATCATGTATGACAATGTAGATAAGGTTTTCATTCATGTTTCACAAAAAAGTCCATACTTTAACTTGTCATGTTTTTCTCTAAGACCAGACTTTTAAAAAATTTATGTATTAGGTTTATTATGGATTTTGTGTGTGTATGTTTTGACGTATGCCATTAAGGAACATTTAAACTAGTGCAGATAATTTATTAACTTCGCCTGATTAAATAGGAATCATGATTGAAACAAATTGGTGAAAGTAATTTTGATGTCTTTTTTTCTGTTTTTGTTTTGTTTTGTTTGAGCAATCTACCCCTGACAAATTGTATATTTGCTCTTTAAGTTTATGTTCAAGGATAGATAACTCAAAACACTGCCAAGCAATACCTGATTTGATTATAAATAATAAATGGCTTATTATCTATATTATATAAAATCGACTAAGGGAAATGTTAAAGACTTTATTCATCTAATAGTCATTTTGAGGACCAATATGTAAATACAACATATTGTTTGTAGTGAGAGAGATAAGAGGTGAACAAATTTAGAAGATGAAGTGATAGAGGAAAGCTTATGTACCATATATGGTTGAACGCTTTATAGAAGCCATTACAGACATTTTGGACCTTCAGGTAACAGTATTGCATATATCATTGTTTGTGTATGCAATTTTAATTCATGATGATGCCACAGATTAAACTGAATTGGTTAGGTGTAAGGTTGTTGTTAATAAGAAAAATGTACAATTAACACAGGCAGTTCTTTATTTGTTTACCTATACAGCTTAACAGGGAAATTTGTCGGTACATCAGAGACTAAGATTGATCATTCTTTAAATATTGCAGTAACATTTGCCAGTGCCACAGCAAACAGTGCCCTAGAGGAAAAAAAAGAAATTTGAAAGCAATTCGTTAAAGAAGTCAGATAATTGTTTGGACAGAACAGAAGATCGAGGATGGATGGAATGTGCCCAGATCGAATAGCAAGAGACTGATAATCTTAATCATCATCTGCTGTGAAAGAGACGAGTTTCTTTTAAGTTGAAAGTTGTGTTATTTGCAAATGACGTATTCAAAAGTTCTGCATTATATTTGTCAATATAATTGCTGATGCCCCATATTAAAAAGAGCTTAGGTTGATTGTGTTGTTTGATTTTGTGTATAGGATAAAGATTATTTAGACCATTGTTTTAAATATTTGATTTACTTACTTGTCCAGTTGTTATTTTTTTTTTCGATATTATTTTCTTTACGTATTTGTTCGGCTTCTACTTTTCTGAACATTCCTTTTTAATGTTGACGAATAAGTCTTAATTCTTTTTTTATTACATTATTGGTATTTATTTTAATGTGGTATAATTAGAACTCTTTTGTGAGGAATATTGGTGTTTGACAGTTATCATTAAATTCCTCATTTGATTTACTGTTTCATCCATATTATATATCCATATCGATTGCTAATAAGCTGAGTTAATTGCATTTCTGCACGCTTATTAAAACGCCGTATATTGTAACTCTTTGATTAGAACTGTCTTAAAGTGAAATTAAAGGCACATTATGCCTTGTATTTTGTAAAAATGTCACATATGTTTAATACTGTTTAAATAATGGATTAGGTGCATGTTAGATGTTTTACAACTGAAAAAGTAGTGCTGAATATGTGTCTTAAAGGGTCAAAATGTAAATTTCTACTTCCATACAAAATACTTATTCACTATAGTTATACCAATTACCAACAGAACTAAATATGCAAAAGTTAGTTCTTGAGAAATAACAATTATAGCAAATGGACTTTTAACTTTTTAAGCATGAGGAATTATTGTACATTCACATTACGGGTTTATGGCATAACAAATAGATAAGATTCATAACACGTACGATGCAATATAAGATTTATAACAAAAA